GCGGCTGGGCCTATTAACCGTGGGCTTAATAACCGGCGACTACTGTATCAGGCGCGGGTCGTAACAAATGTACCTGTAAAGTCTGACCCGGTTTAAGAAAGCAGGGAACGGGTACTTAGCTGGTCACCGTTTTCACTTTAATTCTTATTCGACTGACCATGTGCTTTTTATCGAATCGTAGTTTAACTTAAAATATTGTCAAGTCGTAACTCTATCACTACCCCTGCCCTTAACACTTACAGCAATCACCCTGGAAATTATTGCAGGGCTCCGGATAAGGAGAAGGCTGTTTCTGTTTCCATGCTCTGCCCACTTTTGAAAATTACTTAAATTCGATGTTGCGCTGGTTAGTAGGTAAGTGGTAATTGATGAGTAACACGTTTTGGGCACGCTGAACTCTTGACCTAGATCACCTAGGTCTAGCCAACGTAAACCGCCCCTCCGGCTGGCTGATTGTGTGTTCGGTCTAGCTGATCCACGCAGTGGACCGTTTTGAAATGCCTAATCTTTTGCCCCCTGGAGTTACTGTCTGTCTAACCGAAGCTCCCTTGTTTGTCTACCTCCTTTGTACAGTGAGTTTCAATTCTTTCTGCCCAACACGATGAATCTGCCGGCCTTCCATGTCCTCATTACAACTTATGAATTGTTTTCGCTTGAGAAGAACCTTTTCCTGCCTTTCCACTGGCCTGTTCTTGTGGTGGATGAGGCGCATCGTCTAAGGAACCGCCAGTCTCGTGTAAGTCCCCTCCATTTGCCTAATAGGGGGGCCTAGTGCTGTTTAGATTTCCAACTACTGTAACTCAGTCTTGTTACAAACCGAAACGCTCCTGTTTTGACTCTTTCATATCTCCTTATGTCTCGCCGTTATTGCCACACTCTGGCTCGCCGCCTCTCCATTTGGAATCTTTCAACCTCGTCTAGCTGCTTGCTACCTGGTGCGTCCACAGGTGGCGGATAGTGGCACGGCCTTCATCGAAGGTTATCTGCGAAATAAGCTGGCTCCTGGGTCTAGCGAATAAGAATTCGCAGATCAACAGCGACAAGGTTACCAGAGCGCGGAGGGCTGCTATGTGGCCCGCCGGCTGCCTTCTAAAAAGCCGCATGTCCCAATGACGACACTGTGACATGGCAAACGTGTATCGTCATTAAATAAATTTGTTTTCCACCGCCGCCTTGTCGCTAGGTTCTTGAGTCAAAGTGCTAGAGGAAACAACCTCCAACAAACAAACCGGGCGGCTGTCGGGGACTTGTTTGCATACATAATCCTCAAAAACTCTCATATAAATGTCTACATACGGTATTACGGTACTATCCGGGACATCGTTGAGGCCAGCTAGATCAGGCATGATCACAGCCTTATAATGTACAAGAAAGTAATAGACAACGGGTAGGATAAGGGAAAATGAACCCGTGTCATAGGTGACCTTGTATGAAATACTAGGATAATTAGAGTTAGGATTAGGGTTGAGGCCCCGGAATCGGTACCCGGTCACCTTCACTCAGTATTTAGAAATTGGTGCCTTCATAAAGACGAGGGGCATAATGTCCTAACACCAACCCTTGTCTTTATACGTTCACGTGCTTCTTCAGGACGTTTTTGTTAAATATTTTTGCTGCCGCCCTCGTCGGAGCCCCTCTGTACACTGACGTGTCTTTTCTTTTCTGATGCAGCTTTTCCGTGATCTGTCCGTCCTGGATGTTGGTTACAAGGTTCTGCTCACCGGGACTCCGTTGCAGAACAACCTGGAGGAGTTATTCCATCTTCTCAACTTCCTGGACCCCAAACAATTCAAGTAAGAAGTTTTTCGACTGTGGTCAGGGGGACAGCAGTCCAAAGCCACCGCATAGGCTGTTGTCGCATTTACTTTTTGTAATATATTCATGAAATTCTCATTATGTTGGAAGGGAAACTCCCAGTATTGTCTTTATGCTGACCTCTTTAATGCCCATTTAATAATTCACCCATTTCATACAAGCCTGGAAGAGGATTCGTTTTAAAGGCTGGCACTGGCTGCCTGACAGTCACGGCAATGTCAAGGGTTATGAGTAAAAGAAATAAGACCTCGGCAGAAGAAATTTTGCTCTTTACAGGTTGACTTCGATGCAGCCTGATAAGGCGGTTTTGGTTGGTGAAGCGAA